TTTCGCTGAGCATGATCCCTTCCAGCGCCATCCATGTTGCTGCAAATTGCATGTGTTTATCAATAGCTAAGCTTTGGAAACAACCCAAATGCCCAAAAATAGATGACTGGATCAAGAAGATGTGGTCTTAGAGTCTTAATTAAAGCTTAGCTGACCATACATACCTGGGGTTTTCTCTATTCTATTTCATTGGTCTATGTTCCTGGTTATGGTACTACCATGCCGTTGATTATTACAGGTTTGTAATATGGTTTGAAATCAAGAAGTATAATACCAGGCCTCCCCTGGCGGCAGTTGAGTGCTAGGCTGCGATGTTCGATCCCTGGTTCTATCCCCGGCCACTGGCAAGGGTCCCACATGGTGCACAGACCTCCCCTACCACTCCTGCTGCTCCCCTCAGCAGTGTATTTCATCGGCCTGACTGTTCTGTTCCCCGCTCTGGCTCTGGTGAATTCTCTCACCCTCCTGCGCTTCTGACTGTACCCAGTGCTTGAATAAACAAATAAATGTTTTTTTTTTAAAGAAGTATAATACCTCCTACTTCATTCTTTTTCGAGATTACCATGGCTATTTGAGATCTTTAATAGTTCCACATAAGGCATACCTTATTTTGAAGTCATGAATACAAAATATGGTGCATCACTGTTATTGCTTAGATCTCCAGTTCTAAGTACAGACAGAATTATTCCCCCTCATCCTGGATACAGCCCGAAAATCCTTCCCAAAACAGTACTCAAAGCGTTCACTACTAATCAGTCAATCACGATTTTGAGTTGAAGTTTCCGCGACTACAACAATGCAACAGAGTAACCCTAAATGAAGTAACCCTGACTGAAGTGCTCTGTCTTGATCAAAGATAATCGTTTACTTGACAATTCCCTCCAATATATTGTTTTAAAACAGGTTGGAAGGGACATATGACAACTATTTGTAGCTTTAGTGATGGATGGGAAGGGAGGACAGGATGCTTATTATTCACATTAGGTCACTTACAGTGAAGTAAAGAAGGTACCTTGCAGTCATGTATCTGGTAAAACAGTGTGTATGATTGAGTGTGTGTGTGCACTGTTTGCATGTGTGTGTGCAAACCACTACCAGTGTCACCAAACACCTGCAGATGTTTCAAGGTTTCCAGCATATCATGGGCCCATTTCATTCCTTTCACTTCTTCATTCACTCTAACATGCTCAGTCATTACTATTTAATATATTCAAGCTATTTTCTCATACTACTTTTTATGTCTTGAGAAATCTCTTTGAGTAATTATGTTCAAAATGGCTACATGGGTGGGACATATTTGAGTACTTCTCCAAAAACTGAAAGTTTAGTGGGGTCAGGTTCAGAATTATAAGATTGCCATTTTCTTCCCCAAAAGTATTTCTTCAGTCTTGCTCACAAGAAGTTTTAGGTCAAGGTAATTTCTCATCTCAGGTAGCTTTTCTTGTTTATTCAATCCCTGTGATCTTTTACTATAACTTTACTGCCTCTAATTACAAATATTTTTTCTCAACAGCGTATTCAATGCAGGTTAGACCTTCCACTCTGCAAACTTTTCTTCCTTCACCTCCAAGGCCCTTACCTCTATTAGTTTCCATTTGTTTCTTCCACTCCATTATCTCTGCCCTCTTTCTGGAATGTAGTGGATGCATATTTAACTCCTTATTGTTCACGTGTCTGCATTTTATTATTTTCTAATTAATGAGAACTGTGTGCAACCTCTATTTCTAATATTAGGGAATAATTAAATATAACATTGCAAATTTATTGGTGAGGCATGAAGTAGTTTTTAAAACGATGATTTGTAAAATGAAATCCTCATGGGCATGCGATCAACAACAAAAAGTTAAATCACAAGTATAATGGAAGAAAGCATCAGGAAAAAAAACTTGTCATCTCAGACCAGGGAAGGGTTTTCAGAAAATGATACAAAATCCAGAGGCCTTAGGATAAATTGATAAATTTGAATGCATAAAGTTCTATATTTGTTTTGTTCTTTTTTCAATCTTATAAAATTTATGAAAGTATAATATAAACTGAGAAAAGTGCACACAAGTGCACAAAGTGATGAATTTTCACAGACTGAACAACCTGTGTAGCCAAAACCTGGATCAAGAGGAAGAATGTTACCAATATCCAAAGTCCCCTCAAGCCTCCTCTTGTCACACCACTTTTATAAAGCAGCATTTCCTGTTCTGAACTCTCCATGCATACAGGATGATGCAACATGCAAGACAGCATGTACTCCTTGCGATGCCTCATGAGAGGCATCACCCTGGCATGGGGCAATGCTCTGTGCTCATTCATGTTGCTTCTGAAAAGCATTCTCTGAAGACTTTTTCACATAAGTATATCCTATTTATGTCCATTTCACTGTTGAGAGGATGGCCTCTCAGATTTTTGTTTTTCATATGTTTCCTTGATTTATCTTCCAGCTTTGGTCTTTAATCCTGACTGTTCTATTTCTTATTTTTTGTTAACTGCTTGTGTGGGGGGGGGGGTGGCTTTGTTCTTTAAAATAGATAAACTAGACAACATCCACCTCCTCTCTTTTTAAGTATATTAATTGGAATTTTCAATTTCATTTTCATTTCCCAATTAATTATTTTTTCTCTTCCACAGAACTTTGCTCTATTTTGTTTTTTTGGCTAATTTTTTTCATCTTGATCATTCCCTTTCTGCTACCAGTTTTTCTGCAATATCTGGTGACTCCTGTTGAGTGAATTCACATTTATCAACTCCCCATTTATGAGCAAAAAGTGAAATTTCCTCTACAACTGAGTAGGTCTGTTTCTCTAACAGGATTCTCCACAAATGGGATGGCTGAAGGTGGGTTCCATGCAGGAGTTAGGGACTGGTCAACTGCAAACTTTCCTATGGGTTGCAGGATAGGAAGCAGTCTGCAGGTACGGTCCCCCACAACTGCCATGTAAACAGGACTCCGGATTCACAGTGGGATGTGTTCTTGGATGGAGCTGCCTTGTTCTTATCACTCTGATTTCTCTCTTTCTAATGTAATTTCTACTGTGTTTCATTTCTAATCAGCTCAGCTTTTCTCCAGATGACCAAAACGATGGGAGGATACCTTCCCTGGAGGGTCACACATTTCTTCAGAAACATTTCTTGGATTTCATGCCATTATCACATGCTTTATATATGAAGGGAATTGGGAGAAAAATAAACACCACTAGGAGACTCAGTTGTTTGTGTTTTGGTTTTCTGATTGCTAGCTGATTATAGCTCACCCTATGACCTGCACTTTTTCTTTGTTGGGCTTGATTGCAAGCCTTTTCTGTTCCCCCTTGGAGAAGAATCCTCCCATTTCAGGTGTTTCAGACTGCAGTTTCTCCAATTCTGTTCTTTCTCAAACTCATTATATCTGTCTTCTATCATCCAGGATTTCCTTAAACCTTCTTTTTTCTCATTGGTTTCTGTCCTTATCTTCCAGCACCAATTACTGTTCTTTAAAAAAATATATCTCTTTATCCTTTCAGTGAACTTTTGGGAGAAGGAAAGATGAGACCTATCAGTCTGCCATCTGAAACCCAAAACCACATATGCATTTTCACAGGTCGCTCAGTGGAGGTGAGAAGAATGGACTGGAGAAAGGCGTGGAGAACTGCAAGAAGACAAGACTTCAAGGATCCAAACGGCCATGCCATGGCTGAGTCGGTACCTAACCAACAATATGTTAGCTGCCATTATTGATGTTGCTTTGTTGTCATAAAGAGATGACATTTTGATGCATCAAAACATTCCCAGTCATAGCTAAAACATTCCAAAAGCTGAAAAGTTCAGTTTGAACCCAGGGAAATAGTCTGCACATTTCCAAGGTCAGTCTTGCTGATGAATGACCAGGACTCTCTATAGACTTCCCCATATGGGCACAGGAAACAGGCATCAATAACTTCTGAAAGGTTCAGACTTAGAATTGCTGCTTGGGCTAACTAAACTATTTAGATGATGTCTCCTGAACAAGTTTTATGATAACTTGCATGAATTTTGAGAAATGAAGTCTCTTAGATAGAAGTTTAATCTTTTTATTTCCTCTGGTATACTCCAAAATAATTAACTTCATGTCAATAAATGTTATATTTTTATAGCGTACAAAATCTGGACTGTTATATTTTGATGCTGTTTGCACCCCATATGGAGGCAGTCTTTGGAGAGGATGTTAATATCTGATTTCAAGTGAGAAGGAGGAATTGAGTATATTTCCAGAAGGAAGAAAAGTGAAAACTGAACTCAGAGGAAATAATCTCCAAACCCAGATGTTCTGACCCCATCACACATGCTCCTTAGCCCCTTCCTTGCCAATTCTTCAGCTGCTGTGTGACTTCAGCAAACTGAAGGACAATTTGAAGAAGAGTCATTCTTCAGTTCCAAACATGCCATAAAAGAAATGTTAAGCATTTGGGGGGCAGTTTGCAGAAAAGCAGGTCTTGTTCAATATCTTGGTTGCAATAACACACAATCCTATTGCAGAACTAGCCAAAGTCAAAAAACTGGACTTATTTTGTTTTCTGTTTTTTAATATAGATTTCAGGCATCTGAAGTGATTAAAGTATTCATAAAATTCCAACCCCATCAGAACATTATTAAATTACATTCACATCTTCTTTGAGTCATAAGGAAAAAGAATTCTGACTTAGAGTCCCTCAAAGAAGTCATAGGAAAAAATTTTGAGGCTTTGCTGGGGAAATAAAAGGATACTGAGCACTTGTTTTGGGGAGAAAGGTAGTAAGAAAGAGGAAGTTTAAGAAGAGCAGAAAGGAATATTCAAGGCCTTGAAAGTGATATCTACTTCTCTTCATTATTTCATGAACTTATAAATCTTCATTTAAGTATTCTGTCTTTGTTTCCTCGGGCAGACAGGGAAGGGCATACTAACACTATTCATGGGGAAATAAGGCAAAGATTTTTGAAGGAAGACTCCCAGGATTTCACAGCAGGCTGGGGAAGCATTCTAAATTCCCAAATCCCATTTATGTACCCAGATGTACCTTTTGAAAAACTGTAGACATTCCTCAGGATTTTATACTGGCCACAATCATTCAGGCAGACTAAGACGCAGTCTTATTGATCCTATTCTCTGCTGAAGGAAAAACAAATCATCAGTTTGGTTCAATCAGTCTAATTTAAAGTTGACGTTGTGTAAATGGGGAGGCAGGAGACAGTAATTTGGATTTCTATCTAAGATGTTATGCTACATTTAAAATTGCATTCTAATCACACTGTATTGATTATCTCAAAGTAATATCCACAACTAATGAGACCCAATCTGACATGAAATTCATAACCATTGATCAGGATTTCCATTCGTGATTTGTTTATGTATACAGCAGAGGATCAAAAATGGACTCTCGGGATTGTCCCATCCCGTTCTGCTTTGGTTTATCTGTGTATGAGATAGAGTTGGTGGTAATGAGGGTGCATAAGTAAGTAGGTGTGTAGCTGGGTGGTTATGAATGGCAGTGGGCTATATGGGGTGATTCAATCTTTTACAAGACCATCTCTTTTGAGCCTGGAATTGTTCTTCTCTAAAATGAAAAAGTAAAAAATGAAATAAACATTTGGCTCAAGTTCCCTAGAAGCAGAGCCTGGCATGGAGTTCATATGCATGTGATTTATGAAGGGGATGCTCTTGGGAGAAAGAGAATAAGGGGGTCATAATGGGACAGGGAAGAAGCTAAGCAAGAAAGTGCTCTTAAATGGGAGTTTCAGTCTGACTGAAAAAGTGCTCTCAAGTAGCTTCAGTCTGACTGTACTGGGAGCTTTGGACCAGGACTTGTGTCATCAAGTTGCCCCTCCTTTGAGGCCTGAGGACCACATCAGTCAGGTCTGCCTCCACATCAGTCTGTCACTAGCTGCTGTGGTTTGCAGAAGGTGAGGCAGGAAGCAGCTCTTGCTTGACTGAGGGCCAACTGTCCAGAGAAGAGGAAATGCAGGTTAGTAATAGCCAATACTAACAGAAGTCGGGAGGTGGATGCTGATTGAATATGGGGGATCTAATTACAGCACCTAGAGTTGTCACTAGATATTGCAAATGCTTTCAATTTGTGAAAATCAGGATATAGCTTATGCCTAGAATTTTTGATCAGCAACTATTATCCCAAAAGTCAGAAACCACTTTGGCCATGAACTAACATCAAGGCCAAGCAAGGAAGTCCACTGGTATCTTCATGCTATAGCAAAAAGAGTCTGAGACTAAGACTGACAAAATGTGAGTATGGTTCTGTGGTCTACTTACTTCAATTATGCCAACATCACTTTCTTGGTTTTGTTAATGCACCAAAGTTTTTCTAAGATATTAGAAAAAGCTTGGTGACAGATATACAGGAACTCTCTGTACTATTTTTACAGCTTCTTGTGAATCTGTAATTTTTTTAAACTCTAAATCACACAATCTGGAATCTGAATACGAAATTTAAGTCCTGGTTCCAGTTACAGTGACCCGTGCCATTCACTGTATCTACTGAGGGAGCTGAGGTGCTTCAGCCTTCTATGGATTTCCCTTCTTATCTTAGGTCTAGGCCCTAAAACATCATGAAATCACTCAATGATTCAATGAATGAATGAGTGAATAAATACTTGACCTTGAAAAGATTACTTAAACTGCCTGAGCCTCAACTTCTGCACCTGGTGATTGCAAGGATCAAGAGTGTTCAAACACAAACAAGTCTCTCTATGATCTAATCTTGTTCTTCAAACCTTCAGCAGCACTCAGGCCAGGCTGTGGCTCAGAAGCACCTGGAGAGAATTTTGGAAATGCAGGTTCTCTGACCTAAATCAGGATACCTGGGATGAGATCCCAGAATCTATGGTTTTAATCAGATCACCCCAGTGACCAGATCATGTGGCAAAGTTTGAAATCTATTTATAGAGAAGATCCCAGTGTGTTATTAACTGGCTAAGTGAGAAGAAAGAAAACGAAAGTGAGGAAAGAAAAAGAGAGAAGAGAGAATAAGGAGGTGATGGGAGAAGAAAGTGTTATTTGACCTAGGAATCTGGCAACATTCTCGGGTCGGCTGTCCCCGTATAGACTGCTGCGCAGACCTCCATCAGGGACCGAATCCACAAAGAGAACTGCTGGAGCAATCTGGAGCACAAATGCCCAGGAGCCCACTGATTTAAAGTTGTTTGTGGATCCCTTTTGTCTAACCTCAGAGTACCTTAGGAATTTACCAGCTATAAAATAAGTCAGACTTTGATTCCAGATTTTTTCTTTAAGCAGGTAATGTTGTTTCTATATATAAAAAGTCTGTCGTTATGGAAACTTGTCTCAAATAAAATATCTTTTAACAAAATAAAAGTCCTCTCCTCTGCATTCACCAACATCATTTCATAAGCAGAGAAGGAAGGAAGGAATGTGTAAAAAGGCATTAGTGTAAAGCTGCAGGGGGCGGGGAGGGGGAATAACATTTGCAGTACCTTAATACCCAAACTGGCATGCCACTTTCACACGTCTGGAACAAACACAGCAAGTCTTTCCTTATCCCACCAGACTCTAAATCAGACTTTCCTCTTTTGTTTCACAAAAAAAAAAGATTAGCCTTTGGAAATAGCATCTTCCTTTTTTAAATGGATTATAGGAAGGCAATTGGTAAGGGGGGGTTGGGGGGGATGGGGTGTGTGTGTGTGTATGTGTAAGCTCTTTAACCCCCAGAACAAGGGAGGTGATGATCTCACTCTCCTTATTTGAGGAATAATCTCTCTACTCATGAACTCATGCTCTGCTTCTCTCTCCTTCCTTTACACCCCGCAATGCTTGTTGGTACCTTCTGGGGTGCATCAGAATAGCATGGGCTTGGAATCACAATGTTGTCAAACCAGTATCCAGCTGGGTAAATATGATTCCACACTAAGGGGAGCCCACAGCCTACACCATCCCCACAAGGTGTCCTGGGCTGTGTGCAGCATCCACTGCCACTACACGAGGCACATTCCTGAGGTCTCTTTGCCCTCCTAGATATCTTGCTTGGCTTTCTTGACCTTTGAGGACGGAATCAACAATTTCACCCAATTTCATTATCTTATTTAATACGAAACTGAGAACAGGCTCACGTGCTGGCTGGCACAAGGGCCATCTTTTCATCATATTTTTCCCTACTCCAGTCTGCCTGTGATGTGATGCAAAATGCCTTTCCCGATAGGCAAAATTACTATAGGTCCTGCATGAGTTTGTGTGTGTACATGCGTGTCTGCTTTCAGACTGGTTGCTACGTTTATCGAGGGCACTGATCCTCTCTCTCATAGAGCCAATGATTGATGTAATATTCCAAGGAAGTGCCCTTTTGTTCTGAAACACAATATAAGAGGTCTGAAAAAGCCAACGTTCTACCCGGTGTTCAACTTCAAAATCTCTGTAATCAATGCTAATTTGACATAATGGCATGCAACACTTTTCTCTCCAAAACTCTTTGCAAAAATTAATTACCAATTAAACTAAAAATTAAACAGATTATTTTTTTATCTCTGCAGCCTGAACTTGAAAATATTGGCATTTAAAAGTATGACTGCTGAAATTATTCTGTGATGTTTTAAAGTGGGAAAAAAGTTCAAATAATTTGCAGAGAAGGACAGATCACAAGTATGTCAGCAAGATGACTCTCTGTGGGATTATTCTGAGAACTGTTAGTGTCTCCCTGGAAAATGCTACTCAGATATTCAGTTGGAAGACTCCTGAAGGAATTTCTCCAAATTAATAATGCTAATCAGTCTAGAGCGATGTGCAGTGACATGAGGGACTGAGCTACTCTGTCCTTTCTGTTGGCATCTGTCTGCAGAGCTGTTATTCATAGCTGCTCCCTGAAATAGAATTTTATGGAGAGGAAGCAAATTAGATTGTCCCAACAGATAAATGAATGAATCATTAACTCAGAAGAGAGAAGTAGGAAGGAAGCAATGAGGGAGATAGGAAGGAAAGAAGGAAGAAGAAAGGAAAGGAATTAAGGAAAAAGGGAGAGTGGTAGAGAGAGGGAGGGAGAGAGAGAGAAGGAAGAAGTTGCAGGGAGTTAGTTTGATGTTGAAGGGACAGAGCTTAGCGCTTCTAAAAGCATGGACGATTTCTGTAGAAGAAACAGAAACTGCAAAAACTTGCTAGATCTTAACTTTCATTTTAAGATATGAAAAGTAAACTCTTTTCCATGACTGATTTTTTTTTTCTCAATAATCCAGGCAGCTATTGCCTCATCCAAAACCAGCCTCTCTTCAGCCCCACCTAGTGGTCCTGCTTTCAAACCACAAGCTAGAATGAGAGCTATGAAAAATTACAGGAAATCCATTTATAGCCCTAGGTTTGGGGCACACAATTAACAGAGAAGATTTTTCTAGAAACTGATTAGAACACTATCTGTCTAGAATCAGGATGAGGGTCCTTCTCTCCACCATCCCACACACTTTCTCTTTCTCTCCCTCCGCCCGTTCTCCCTTTTGCCACAAATTGTGATAGAATTTGTTTCAAAGCTGACAACAGAGCTAAAAGGCTAGATGACACCCCTAGACACCTCCTCATGGGAAGGTGGTGCCGGCTGAGCAGACATGAATTCTTAGCACAGCAGGGACAAGTCTGTCATCCCCAGGCTGTGAAAAGCCTTCTGAATTTCCACGATGGAGAGAAGCAAATCAGCTGAACAGAGGAATAATTTGGACGTTGAGAGAAGAAGGTACATTTCAGCTCTGAGTCCGAGAGTACCCAGACAGCTCCCAGGCAGGGAGGCGTGGCTTGTGGATTACTAGGGGGGTTTCTGTAGACGTGCTGGTTGATTAATATTTACCCAAAGGGTCTGTGCTACAGGGTGGGGAAAGATTCATGGAGGGCTTGCAAGGTGCCCATCCCTTTCAGAAATACCTGCACAGCCCTGGACCTCTGGAGCATCTCAGATCTCCAGGGACAACATGAGGGGGTGTGGCTGCTGCCTGAAAAGGCTCCGAGGCTTTGCCTTGAACATGCCCGGTGGCTGCCCAAGTTCTGCTCCCGGCAAAGCTGACCCTCCCCTGGGCCTGCCTCCCTGGTTCTGCTATAGCAGCACTCTGGCTATGGGAAGGCAGTTGGCACAGCAGAGAGCTGACAAATAGCATTTTTTAATT